TTACTTCCTATGTTTTGGGGTATTATTAAGGGAGTCAGTGCCTGTGCCAATATGTTGGAGTGTTGACTCTGTTTTCTCCTAACATTGTGAAGTCTTATGTAATGCCTACATCTTGCATCCACTTTGAGTTGACTTTTGTGCTGAGTAAAAATCAGGAATCTAGTTTCATTCTTCTACATATGGAAATCCAGTTTTCACAGCACCATGAGGTAAAAGGCTATCCTTTCTCTAACCTACGTTTTTGGGATCTTTGTCAAGTAACAGATGACTCTGTCTGTGTGGGTTTGTCTCTGTGTCTTCCTTTCTGTCTCATTGGTCTTCATGTCTGTTTCGATGCCAAACCATGTGTTTTGTTACCATGTCTCTGTAGGATGATTTGAGTTCTGGTATTGTGAAACCTCCTACATCACTCTTATTGCACATGATTTCTTGGCTATTCTGGGTATCTTATTCTTCCAAATGAATTTTAGAACTGTTTTTCTAGTTTTGTGAAGAATGTCATTGGTATTTTAATAGGGATTGCAGTGAATCTATTTACTTTTGCTAATATGACCATTTTAACAATAGTAATTTTGTCTATGCCTGAATGTTGTCTTTCCATCTTCTAGTATTGGAAGTACTTGTAAAAAGAAAAAAAAACATTGAATAGATATTGTATGTAGCAGTATCAAATCTTCTAGTTATAATCAATCTTCTAGTTATAATCAATCTCCTAGTTATAATAAAACTAAATGTCTGACTTTAAAGTTTTGTTTGTAATAATAGCTGTCAAAGTTAAAAGTATTTTTTCCTCTGAGGTCATATAAATTCTATGACAGAACAGGGAAATTTTTCATGGAATAAAGAATGTGAAAAGTACACTAATAGTATTTTAAAATACTGTGCCTGTACTTGATAAGGTGTCAATAGCAATTTTTTTCAAGAGTAAAAAAAGATTTTTACCTTCTTTCCATACTTTTATGGAGATAGACAGTCCTAGCTATAGGGCAAATCTGACAAATACTTCTTTGTAAAACTTCAACTATTTTATTCTGTTTCTCCTTCTCTGTGAGTTGAATTTTGGCAAATTTTTAGATACTAGTAAGATATATCAGAATTAAATCTTATCTGTTTGAAACATTCAAAAATAAATGGCTGGTGAATTAGAGAATAACTCTTCTTTTATCTCTTGTTACATTATGTTCCTAATCACTTGATAAAAAAATCATGCTACTCTCCAAGATATGGATCCAATATAATTTAACTTATCTTACCTTGGCAGAATGTCTCATATTTTCACATATTCATATTGGCAATATTCATATGTATTTTAATAAAATTTCCTAGAGGAATGACAGAATGTATTTTTGCAGGCTAAATTCTGAAATATAGAACAATCACTAATGATGTGGTGAGCATAGGCAGTAAAACTAGATAAAATTAGTTTGAGTTAAAAAAAGAAAAAATGTTCTACTTTTGCTCAGAAGTAATTATTAAAGAACTAAACAAAAACTTTTCAAAAGATGAAATACAAATGGTCAACAAATAAATGAAAAAAACGTTCAACATCTCTAGTAACGAGAGAAGTACAAATTAAAATTACACTGCCATTTCATCTTATTCCAGTCAGAATGGCAATTATCAAGAATATAGGTAACAATATTGGAGAGGATGTGGAGAAAAAGGTACACTCATACATTGCTGATGGGACTGCAAATTGGTGCAACCACTCTGGAAAACAGTAAGGAGATTCCTCAGAAAACTAGGAATGGGAGTACTATTTGATCCAGCAATCCCACTCCTTGGTATATATCCAAAGGTTTTAAAATCAGCACACTAAAGTGATGCAGCTATACCAATGTTTATAGCCACTCAGTTCAAATAACTATGCTGTGCAGCCAACATAGGTGCCCTTCAACAGATGAATGGATAAAGAAAATGTGTGTATACACAAAGGAGTGTTACTCAGCCAAAAAGAATGAATTTATGACATTTGCCAGTAAATGGATGTAATTGGAGGCTATCAAGCTAAACAAATGTCAAATGTTTTTGCTGATATGTGGAAGCTAACCCACAATAAGGGTGGGGAGAATGAAGGGAAGGGAGAGGTGATAGGAAAAGGAAAGACAGTGGAATGAATCTGACATAATATCTCTACATATATATGAATGCACTAAAGTGAATCCCACCATTGTGTACATTCACAAGACTGGGGTCCTAATTAGAATAAGATATTTTCCATAAATTTGCATAATTGTATAAAAATGGATTCTACTGTCATGTATGACTAAAAAAATCAACAAAAAGAAGTAATAGTTAAAATGCACCATCACATGCCATATGCCTGACAAGAGTTCTAGGTCTTTCCTCAAGTGTGACTTTTTCTTTACAGATACTCTATGAAACAGGTAGGATCATCTTAATTTCATACAAAAGAAAAGTGAAAATAAAAAGTTAGGTTACTTAAGTAAATCCCAATAGAATAAATAATAAAGTACCATATTCAAATCATTGTATTCATACTTCAACAATATATTTTCAACTCACTAGAACTTCTTATTTTTATCATAAGAATAATGCACTAAATATTAATTCTGTTCCCTTCAGGAATTTTTGATGTGTATATTTATTTCCCAGATAACACATAAGGGAAGTAAGTTTAATTTTAACTGTATTGAATCTTAAGTCTTGCCAAAAATGTCTATAAGTCATATGAAAAAAATAAGTGAAACATTTTAGCATGGGTAGGAGTTTTCATTTTTTTCTCTTTACCTAGAAGAGATAATTAATATCAGAGACTTGGACAATGTGCTAGTAAACATGGGGATTGAACTCACCAAAGAAGAATTTGGAGAACTGAAAAGAAACCTTCCAGTTGATGGTAACTCAATTTAGATATTAAAAAAATTATTCATGAAATCTTGGTCTTGAAGGTTTTATTTATATTTCTGAAACATGTACTTTGTAATGATAAACTTGAAAAACATCAGAAAAAAATTCAGGAGTAAGAGCAAATCCTGACTTCATTTTATAAATTCATATAGAATGCAAAACATTTGACAAGATTGATTCTAATACCATCTTTCACATTAATGAATGTTTAGGAAGCAGAATAAAAAGGTGAAGAAGGGAACAAATGGAGGGAAGCTGATATATATATATATATATATGAATGGATTGATGAATGGCTATATGACTTTCCATTTTCTATATAGATTTCTGTATTCTGAATCACCCCCTAATACAAACTTTTCTCTAAGAACATCAGTTACTTATTTTTTACCAACTGCATTAGACACATATAGATTTGTTACAGGGGTTCTTTGCTGTCTTTGATATTGTTGATAATTCTGACCTTGAAATTTTGTTCCCTTGGTTTTTGTGTTGTTCTCTCAATCTGGATTTTCTATTCCACTCTGGTTTTTATTTAACATACTCTCTGGGAAATCTCATTGATATCCATGGTTTTAACTATCACCTATAGGTTGAAGACTTTCAAGTCTTTTTTTTAACATAAACTCTCTCCTGGGTTTCTGACAGATATATCCAAATGTGTTTAGATATTCCCACTTGGATATTTCATAACAGACATCATTTTGGACATATTTTAAAAGGAATTTATTATTTCCTTTCCCATTCTCCTACTCCTAGATTCTGTCTTGTTTGTGCTATCATGATTTATTCAACTAAACTAGTTATGTGAATTCATTTTTTGATTCCCCACTATTTCCTATCTCTTACTATCTGGTCCACCTACTTCACAATGCCAGTTTTACCTCAAATACCACACATACATAGCTGAATGAATTGATGAATGGCTATATGAGAAAATAAGAATAATAAAATGTTAATTGTAGAATCTAAATGATGGGAATATGGGCATTTATTGAACACTTCTTTCAACTTCATAGTATGTTTGTAAATTTTCAGAATAACCCCCTTTTTTAAAAAATACCACATATAAATCCATCAATGTCTTTCTGTCCTTTCTGCCACAACCAGATTTCAGATATTTTCATTCCTGGCTTTAGTTATTTTGATGGCTTTACAAAATGGCCATCAAAGTGAGCCATGTAAAATGCAAATCTGACCACAATGTGTTTTAATTTAAAATCATTTATTGACTTTCAGCCATAAACTAAAAAATGAAAGTCCTTTAAAATGGCAATCAAGATCTTTTATGATTTGGATCTTGTTTATCTAATCTACTGCTTTACCCTGAAATAATAATGAACTTTTATCCCATTATTTATAATGAAATATAGCTTACTTCCCCTTCATCTAATTAACTCTTACTCATTGCTTATCAGAGTTAAGAAAACCATTTTCAGAAATATTTTCCTTAACTACTCAGATAACATTAGATACTTCTTCTCTATTTATCCACAATAACTATGCATGTTCATGAACTTTCCATGTTTGTATGATAATTGTGTATTTACATTTATTTGCTTTTCTTGTCATTTTAATGTGAGCTTGAGAGTAAGGAAGGATATATTATTTATCTTTCTATATTCAAAACCTGGAAAAGTTTTTGGCATATTAAGTAGGCACTTCATAAATCTTGAATGAGAGGAGACAAATGACTGAGTAAATGAGAGAGTGAATAGACACTGATAAAGCAATTCCTAAAAAAATGAAGAACTGAGGGCTAGGGTTGTGGCTCGGTGGTAGAGTGCTTGCCTAGCATGTATGAGGCACTGTGTTCAATCCTTAGCACCACATAAAAACGAATAAGTAAATAAAATAGAGATGTTGTGTTCATCTACAACTAAAAATTTTTTTTAAAACCTTTTTTTTTTTGGTCAGGGAATATTTATTTCTGGTATGCTTTAAGCGCTTACCTGCAGCAATTCTGAGTGTCATGGAGAATCAATTTCTGTTTAGGAATAGACTAGAAAAAAACTAATTGTCTTAATTTTTTTTACCAGACACCTCAGTCATAACACTTATGATATTACCAGATTTGAGGGTCTTCATAGAATTGACCTGCATTGTTGGTATTTTCTATCGTGTTTTTAAGGAAATATCATAATCCAGTAAGAAAATATTTTTCCCTGGGCCAGATGTTATAGTTCAGTTATCAAGGGCCAGTTTACTAATGTAGAATTAATTCTTGAAACTAAGAATTATACAATTAAAAGTGAACCTAAATTAAAAGTATAATAACAAACTTTGGCTAGGTTCTGAATCATAATTTTAAAATATTTTTCTCTTAATTTGTGTTACCTTACAGCTAAAGGGAAGACTGATCTCAAATCATTGATGGATACAGTACAAGTTATTACAGGTTAGTGAGAAAATACTATAAATTTAAGATCCTAATTCTTTATACTAAGCTATATTTTTCTGTGATAAATATTTATCAACATGTTTGATATAATTCTATTGTAATCATTTGTCTAGTTTAAGAATTACCACAAAGTGAACAGTAAGCTTTTTGTTGGTATGACCAAAATATCTGACGTGAACCACTGAAAGGAGGAAAAATTTATTTTGGTACATGGCTTTAGGGGTTTCAGTCTATGGTTGGCTAGCTCCATTGCTTTGGGCTTGAGGTGAGGCAGAATATCATGGCAAAAGGGTGTGATTCATGGCAGCCAAGAAGCAGAAAGACAGAAGGAGAAGGGGAAGGAGAAAGAGAAATAAAAACAGAAGGAGAAAGGAGGTGGGGGGACAAAGGGAAGAAGGAGAGAGGAAGGGAGGAAGAGAGAGAAAGAAATTGTGGACAGGGCCAGATAGAAGATAAACCATTTTAGAGCAGGCGCCTAGTGACCTGCTTCCTCTAGTTAGGTCCAATCTCCCAGTCGTTCCTTCACACATCAATGAAATAATCTACTGATAAGGTCAGATCCTTCATGATCCACTTCTTTCTCCAAAGCCCCACTTCTGAACATTGTGGCATTGGGGACAGCCCTTTAACACATGAGATTTTGGGGGACATTCTGATAGACCCAACCTGATTTTCTCTTAAAATTGGGAGCCATCTTGCCACAAAGACATGAAAAGCTAATTTCGGTTTTACTATAAATTACTGCAAATTCTGAACTTGCTTGGAATGCCTGCTCGTGCCTTGAACTCACCCATGCCTGGCTGTCTCTAACCAGATAGCAACCCTCTCTGAAACTTTAGTGACACCTCATAAATCTTGGCCTTCCCTGGCTAGATAACGACCCTCTCTGAGGCTCTAATGACCTTCATAAATTCTGATGTCGGGGGCCAGCAAAAATGTAAACTAGCCTTTGTGATATGCTCATCAGAGTTTTGTTATCTGTAACCCTCCCTTTGTGTAACTTTCTGGGCTATAAAGCTGGGCCACAGGAAAGATGCAGTGCTGTCTTGTTCCCACGGTTTTTGTTGGGAGAGGCAGCCCGGCTGGTCGAAATCATAAGCTTGCTTTAATTTGATTTTAATTGGAGTCAGTGGTCTTTTCTTTCATCCTGGTCTAACAATTTCAAATCCTATCCATAACACCATTTAACTACACCTAGATCATGAAATAGAATATTATCAATAATCTATGAGACCCCTATATCATGGCATAATCACTTCCCCTTTACATTTGGAGGTAATTATAGTTGGCTCTCCTTATTCTTGGGTTTTAGATCCATGGATTGAACCATATTCAATAAAAAACATTTGGAAAAAATTGTCTATACTCAATAATTGCCATTATTCTTTAAATAATACAGCATAACAACTATTTTCATAGCATTTATGTTGTATTATGTATTATAAGTAATGTAGAGATAAACTAAGGGATATGGAAGGATGTGTGTAGATATATGCAAATACTACATCATTGTATATAAGGGACTTAATTATCTGCAGGGTTTTTGTAAAATTTTAAAAAGCTTTTCATTCTTTTGATTAACATGTAAATAATTGCAAATATTTAAGAGTACAGTGCAACATTTTAACACATGTATACAGAATCTACTGATCAAATCAGTATTTGACATTTCTATCTCCTTATCACTTATGTTGGAGCCTTTGAGTTCCTCTCTTCTAGTTCTTCTTAAAAATACAAAATAGGTTATTGTGAACTGTAGTCACCCACAGTGCTATGGAACACTAGAAATTATTCCTTTCATGTTTTGATACCCTTATCAAACATTCCTCTCTTTCTTCTCCTCCCCACTGCTTCCTAACCTCCAGTAATCATTATTCTTCACTCAAACCAACTCCCTTTTTAGCTCCTTCATGTGAGAGAGAACAAGAAATATTTACCCTCCTGTGTCTGGCTTATTTCATTAAACAATGTCCTCTATTTCCATCCATTTTGCTGCAAATGACAAGATCTAATCCTTCTTTATGGTTGAAAAATGTTCTATTGCATATGTATAGCACATTTCTTTTTCCATTTATTCATAGAGGTACCTAGGTTGATCCCATATCTTGGCTATTGTAAAATAGTGCTGTAGTTAACAGCAGTGGATGTTATCTCTTTGATATAATGATTTAGTCATTGGGAGATTAAATCCCACCCAGTAGTGAGATTGCTGGATCACGTGGTAGTTTGACTAGATTTTAAGGAAATTTTCATACTGTTTTTTATAATGGCTGTACAAATTTACACTCCCACCAAAATGTATAAGAATTCTCCTTTATCTCTATCCTTACTGGCATTTGTTATTAATAACAACAGTTTTAAAATGTAATAATAATTATTATAATTGGTCTTTTTGATAATAACCATTCTTGCTGGGGTGAGATGTTATCTCATTGTGGTTTATTAAATTGGTTATTCTTATTCATACATGACAGTAGAACCCTTTTTGATAAAATTATACAAGCATGGAATATATCTTACTCTACTTAAGACCCCATTCTTGTTTTGCATTTCCCTGGTGATTAATGATGTTGAATATTTCTTCTTTTGAGAAATTTCTGTTTAGATCTTTGGTCAATTTTAAAATCAGATTATTTGGTGATTTGGGGTACTTTTTTGAGTTCCTTATATTCTGAATATTAATCCCTTTTGGAATAATTAGTTTACAAATATTTTCTCAATTTTATAGGTTGTTTCTTAACTCTGTTGATCATTCCAATTGCTGTACAGAAGCTTCTCAGTTTGGTTCAATCCCATTTGTCTAGTTTGCTTTTGTTGCCTTTGCTTTTGGTGTCTTATCCAAAAAATCATCACCAATTACAATGCCTTGAAATGTTTCCCTCATGTTTTTTTTCTATTACTTTCTAGATTTGATTTTGGTGTATGGTGAGATATTGGAGTCATTTCAGTCTTCTTCATATAGATAGATAATTCAACATGCATCATTTATCAAAGAAGCATTTTTCCAACATATGTTTTTGGTGGTTTTGTCAAGAATTAGTTGGCTGTAGATATGTGGTTTGATCCTCAGCATTGCATATAAATAAACAAATAAAACAAAATAAAAGATCCAGTGACAACCAAAAAGTACTAAAAAAACCTAGACTCTACCAAAAGACTATTAGAACTGATAAACAAATTCAGCAAAGTTGCAAGATACAAAATTAACATTCAGAAATCAGTAGCATTTTTTTATACACCAATAATGAGCCTGTTGAAAAAGAAATCTCAAGGCAACCCCACTCAGAATAGCTATAAAAATTAAAATACCTAGGAATAAATTTAACTAAGAAAGCCAAAGTTGTCTGTATTTAAAATTACAAACACTGGTGGCAAGAACTTAAAAATGACACATAAAAAAGAAAAAATCTCCTATGTCCATGGATTGGAAGAAATAATATTTTTAAAATTTCCACACTACCCAAATCAATGTGTAGAATCCATGCAATCCCCATTAAAATATCAATGACACTCTTCATACAGAAGGACAAAAGATTTCAAATAGCTGAAGCAATCTTGAAAAAAAGGAAAAAAATGGATACATCATAATACCTGGTTTCAATATATACTACAGAGCTAATAATAACTAAACAGAATCATACTGGCCTAAAAACACACAGACCAATGAAACAAAATAGAGATCCCAGAAATAAACCACATATCAACAGCCAACTGATTCTTGACAAAACCACCATTAGTCATTTTAATGGGCATGTAATAGTTTCTCACTATGCTTGTAATTTTCATCTGTATTTCCCTAAAGATTAGTGATGTTGATCAGCTTTTTTACATTTATTGGTTGTTTGGGTAATCATTTTTATAAAGTTCTGTTTATGTCTGTTACCTATTTTTCTGTTTGAATGTCGGTATTTTACTTTTTCAAGTTTTTATATGCTGTCTTTTCCTTATAGTTTTTTTTTAATGTATGCTAGATAAAATTACATTGTGGGTTATAAATTGCAAATATCTCACTAAACGTATTTACTTTTCACTTGAATTATACCTTTTAAGGAACAGAAGTTCTTATTGTTTATGTTCCTATTATTTATTATTATTCATGTATTTATGAATCAACCTTTTCTTATAAAGTTAAAGTGTTTGGGATCCTGTTTAAGAAATCCTAGCATACATCAAAGTAATTAAAAATATTTTCCTATTTTATCTTATGAAAGCTTTATTATTTTATTTTTACATTTAGATATATAATTCACTCATTTGAATTTTATATATCATGTGGGGCAAGAGTCACAAATCAATTTTTTCTAAGTGGATATTCAGCACCATTTAATAGCAAGATGATATTTCTCCACTACAGAATAAGGCCATCTTTTTCATAAATCAAAGACCATAAATGTAGTGGTATATATGGACTTTTTAATCTGTTTCTTTGGTCTAATTATCTGTCTTTGCATGTATACTATGGTCGTAATGCCTTTTATATGTCCTTGTATATGAAGGGTAAAATCCTCCAAATTTGTTATGCTTATTTAAGATTGTCCTGGCTATTCTTGACTTTTTTTTATATTTCCATTTACAGTTTATAATCAGATTTTAATTTTTCCCAGAAATTTTATCAGAGTTTTCACTGGATTTTTTAGATCCATTTACAGGGAATTAACAGCTTATAATATTGAGTTTTATAATTTGTGAAAATCATATGTGTGCTGGTACAATGACTCTGAAAAATATCACCATCCAATCTGTAGCATTTTCCAGTTTTCACTTGTAGATTCTCTCACCATTGCTGGTTCTAAGCTACAAATAATCTGAGAGAAGAAAAAGCTCAAAAATTCCTGAATGAAGCAATCAGCTATCATGTGCTAAATTTAGGCTGTTGGCAAACCACTGAAAATGGTGCATTGCTACATTGATTTAGGTTGACTTAATTTTTCTCTTTTGTTAAATTATTCCTAGGCATTTCATACTTTTATGTAATTGTAAATATATATATATATATATATATACACACACACACACACACACACACACACACACAAAACCACACACATGCATGTTTTTTCTCATTTAATATTCTGATTGTTGAGAGTATATAGAAATGCAATTGATTTTATGTGTGTGTGTGTTTGTGTGTATATGTGTGTGACAGAAAGAGTGAGAATGTGCGTGTTGTGTGTGTAGCTGGATGAGGTCTGATATTTTGTTTAGTATTTTTGCAAATTGGTTTGAAATGCACTTTTCCTATAATGTTAATGTTCTTCGGTTTTAATATATTCTGGCCTCATATAATTAATAGAAAGTATTTCCTTTTTTTCTCCTCAGGAAGTTTTTGTGTTTATTTGTATCATTCAGAGGTGAAATTCTATAAGATTGATAATTTCTATATGGGAAAATTTTAAATGAGCTGTTCAGTTGTCTTAATATAAGGCTCAAGATTTCTGATATCATCTTTCATTATTGCTAAATGTGTTTCTCCAGGATATCCTTTATTCTGAATATTCAAAGTACTTATATAATGTTCATAATATCTTCTTATTATCTTTATTTTTAAAGAGAGAGTGAGAGAGGAGAGAGGAGAGAGAGAGAGAGAATTTTTAATATTTATTTTTTAGTTCTCAGCGGACACAACATCTTTGTTGGTATGTGGTGCTGAGGATTGAACCCGGGCCGCACGCATGCCAGTCGAGCGCGCTACCGCTTGAGCCACATCCCCAGCCCTTCTTATTATCTTTTTAATATCTATAGGATCTATATTGATGTCTCTTTTGTTATTAGAGTTATTAGTAATGTGTGTTTTCCCTCTTTTTTTCCCTTTATCAGTCTTGGTGGAGGTATTTATCAATTTGTTAGCCTTTCCAATGCTTGACTTTTGGTCATATATATTCTATTTATTTAAAGATTGTTTTCTGTTTCAGCATCCATGTATCTGTTGAGGGGCACCTAGGTTGGTTTCATAGCTTAGCTATTGTGAATTGAGCTGATATAAATATTGATGTCTGTGTCAGTGTACTATGATGATTTTAAGTCCTTTATATATTGAGCAGAGAAACTATGCATCATGAACAACTACAAGAATGAGATCCTAATTAGAATGAGTTATACTCCATGTATGTATTATGTGTCAGAATGCATGCTACTCTCATGTATATCTGAAAAGAACAAATTAAAAAATGTCTAAAAATATGTACAGATGAGAAAAATACTAAAAAGTAAAGATTAAGATTTTAACAGAAAAAGTATCACTTTGTCCACATTTATCTCTTATAATTTGGGATTATAATAGTTTTTAAAACATTTCATCTTTTTCTACTTTTATTTTGAAGGAAGAGAAGTTCACTTAAGTGACCTGGAGAATGCCATGCAAAATATGAGAATAGAACCCATGTCTAGAGAACAACTGGAGCTAAATAAACTGCTTCCAATTACTGGTGAGCATTTTAAATATTAGAATAGCTTTGAAAAGAGAGTTTATATTACCTACAAGGGAGTTAGTATCAAAGGAGTGTTCCACATTAAAAGTATAAGTAGAGTCGAGGGAGTTATCATTATGTTCTTAAAAATTTGTATTATCCAGTAGTCTATGTTTATTGTAGACCATTATCATTTATAATGTAGAGATAATAATAAGTATCCATAATCTCAGATATAACCATTTTTAATATTTAGAAATATGTAAGTTGTCACTTTCATAAACACAAGACAGTGAATCATAATTCTTTCCAGCAGGGGTAAGGAATGTTGATGTTTACCTTTTATACTATTGAGATATATTGAATTGAGCCCTATTGAAAATAAATAAAAGAAGGAAGAGAGATGTAAAGGTATAATAAAGGGTTGTCATAAAGGTTTGAGTTGAAAGAAATACAAGATATGAAAGTATTTTTGTTTTAGCCTATGTGATATATTAACAATTGTCTCAGGTAATTAACAGATTTGCTTTACTAACAATTTCAATATTTTATTATATTTATTTTTTATTTTTAGAAGATAAAATTTTAAGAACAAATTATTTTCTGGTTTACATTTAAAAACTTAAAGATTTTTGTATTACTTTGGCATAGATTTTTATCCATGACCTAAAATACATATTTTCTTACAGCTGATGGGAAAATATATGAGTAGGTTGCTAAAATGTGTGAAAGCTATGAAAGATGAAATTTAAATTGAGATTTAAATTGAAGTGCTTGTTTTTGCTTTGTTTCTTCTTTGTCATTAAATTTGTTTCCTGTCAATCACATGTATATATTTCCATAATTAATTTTATTATATATACATGTCCTTATTGATTAAATATTCTTCAGTGTTTTATTTTTCAAAGATGTTCTAATTGTCTTGGGATTATTTCAATATGAGTAGTGGAAACAATAAAAATAGGCCTAGATATCAAAAGCTGAAAGAGGCTAGTATAACTTTTTAAATTCAGTGATCAAATGAACCTTACTTTTTGTATATTTGTGTTAAAAATTATTAGATTTGCCATCTTACTGCTATAAATGACTTGAGTGGTTTATCAACTCTCTTTCAACATATGGTTTCTTATAAGTTTATTTTCAATATTGAATGTAAATGAATAAGTTCATTTTAATTCATTCAGTAATGAATATATCCTTTTTAAATATTTAATATCTCTTTATTGGGCTTTCTTTATTGATAAACTTCATAAGGTAATACATAGATATTGACATTTATTATATTTTGGCTTTTATTTAAATTTTCTCCTGTCTTTTGTAGGGTTACAAATTGAGGCTCATGGTATTGACAGTATACTTGGAAACATGGTGTTCAAACTCACACCTGAAAAACTTAATGATCTAACCCCAAATCTACCAGTTGATGGTAAGTGACTGAGTTGCCTTGCGCCCTCAGTAGAATTTAATTTGAGCTAATGCTTTTTATAGCACTTATTTAGTTGAGATAAGAATAATTTTCCTCTTGCTATGTTAAACTTAAGTTGATACTTTTCTAACCTTTCATTCATTTATTTATATAATTTTTTTGATGAGCACTCTTAAAAAGCATATCTAGCTAGTGGCTAAGGACAGTGCAGAAATAGAGCATTTCTATCATCACAAAAAGGTCTTTTGAACAGTACAACTTTAGCTCAACCAATACAAGTCAAAGTCAAGGACTATACTAGTTTAAGATCATCCAGAATGGGAACTGCCTATTAGTATAAAAATAATCAACATGCTTCAGTGGAGGAGAATTCAGTCTTGTGAAATTATCCAACATGCAATAAAATATTACTAGATATATATTTAAAAATTCCTTCCAATTAATAGTGGGCATTTCAAATATAAGAATAGGAAAGCATGTGTTATAGTCAAATAAAGAAGATGAATCAATAGATCAATCAATCACTATGCCTAACTGAAATGGCATTAGTAGATACTTTCAAGCAGCTGTTTTTATGTTTAAGGACTTAAAGGAAAAT